GTGGCTACAATGATGAGCTCAAGTATAGCAGGGATTGTGGGGCTGGTGCGGGATAAGGCAGTGTTTCATTCTGCTGTGCACAGGGTTGCTATGAGTCGGAAACGACTCGACGGCACTTAACAACAACACTTAACAACACACATATCAACTCATTCAATTCTCATAATAACCAGGTGATTAATTCCATATTACAGATGAGGACACTGGCAGAAAGGGTGTCCCAGATTATACAGGTTTAGGTGTATTGACACTATTTTGTCTGTCTACATAAGAAAAAGAACCCATGAACAAAAGGCAATTTTGACCTTTTTTCTTCAAAGTTTGGTAGTTTTGTTACCCCCTCCCCAACTAACAACTTGAAAGTCATCATTAATTGGCGGGTTACATATTGTCCATGTGTTCAATAGAGAAATTTCTTATGATTACTCATATCTCCCTGGTTCTTTCCAAAAATAGTCCTCCATTATTTATGGTTTTTGCTTACTCTCCAACTTGAAAATCTCAACTGGTTTGGAAAGTAGATGTCCTGCTCATAGGGTAAAAAATAAGAAGTGATATGGGAAAAGAATTCCATCCCAACTAAGTGGTCTAAGAGCTGCTGAAAGATAAGACCAGAAAAATACCAGGGACTATGTGTTTTTGGCTCTATATCAGAAAGAACTTTTAACCAGATACAGCAGGAAAATTTGCAATTGTGCCCAAAGGAAATTAGGAAACCTGACCCAAATGTAAATGTACTTAATCACTTCAGCAGTCTTACAGTTGTTAACAATAGGTGAAGAAACAACCAACAAGTAGATTACGTAAATACACTGAAGTTACCTTTATGTAATGAATTCAGGTTCCTGTAGTTCTCCAACATCACATCCTTGTACAGGTTCTTTGCAGCAGGATCCAGTTGTCCCCACTCTTCCTCACTGAATTCCACAACCACATCTTTGAATGTCACTGGTTCCTACAACATTGTATTTCTTTTTAATCAAAGATTACTCCAAAAATATTACAGGAAGAATGAATTTGGGAAGCACAGGTGATAAATGGAGACAATATTGAAGTTGTCAAGGATTTAATTTTACTTGGATGCACAATCAATCCCCATGGAAGCAGCAGTCAATAAATAAATGTATTGCATTGGGCAAATCTGCTGCAAAAGATCTTTTTAAAGTGTTAAAAAGCAAAGATGTCACCCTGAGGACTAATTCTAAACATTTACTAGGTGGGCTCTATTCCTATAATGAACCAAAAAAAAAAACCAAACAAACCCAAACACACTGCTGTTGAGTCTGATCTGACTTATAGCAACACCTCCTTGGGTTTCCAAGGCAGTATCACTATGGAAGTAGATTGCCCAACCTTCTTTCCGAGGAGTGACTGGTGGGTTTGAACTACCAGCCTTCTGGTTGGAAGTCAAATGCCTTAGGCACTATGCCACCAGGGCTATTACTATAGCTTCAAATATTTTCTATATTCTTAAGGGATAAAGATGCACAGAGAATATACAAGGTTAAGAGAAAACATATTCCAAAGAGTATATTACCAATCTCTAATTCCCCAGCATCATCCTGTGTTTCAATGTCCTGTGGAAGAATAAGAACTGCTAAGTTCTTGGAGGGAATTATGTTTAGCAAAGCTCAAGGACCAAAAAAGAAAAAGAAAGTACATTAAATAACAGCACACATTTTCAGTGGCATGGAATCCTAATTCACCTGGGATTTGCCTATTATTGAATCAGCTTCCATTTCCTCCTCCTTTATGCTCCCCTTCTGAAGGACAGAATCCTTACAGGGTAAATCTAAAGAGAATGAAGTTAAATATTAGGGACATAAATTTTTCCATAAAGTAACTTTTGATGATAAAGTAGTGGTTTCAACATGATTATTAATATGAACATGCCATATAATTAATTATTTTCCCCCCACAAAATCTGCCACTTACTCTCCATTCATGCAAGCAGGAACACGAGTTTACATTAGATGTCATTCCACTCACTGTCAATAATTATATTGTCTACCATGATATTCCCAGACCCTTGAAAAGTATCTGACATATTGCATAAAGACTTATTAATGAATAAATTCCCTCCTGTTTCATAAGGGCCCTCATATCATCAATAATTCCTAAAGATTCAAACTTCTGTTTTCCCAATCCTCCTCATTCTCTGTAACATGATCCATTACAACAGTCTCCTGACAAGTTTTCCTAGTTCCTAAATCCTCAGATCCATCCTCTACACCAGAGGTCATAAACTTTTACTATAATGGGCCAGACGGTAAATACTGTAGGCTTTGTGGGCCATACAGTCTTGGTTACAACTACAGAACTCTGGTTGTAGGATGAAAGCAATCATAGGAAAAATGTAAATGAATGGGATGGCTATGTTCTAATAAAACTTTATTAAAAAAAAAAAAATTGTTACATGGCCCACAGTTTGTTGACCTCTGTTCTACACTGATGGCAACATATTTTAAAAGACAAACCTGATCGTTTTTTTCTCCCTGGGAGATCTATTTGTATTGCCTGTAGAATAAAGTCATTTCTTTTTAATATGGTAATACAAGTCCTTCATGATTTGGCCCTCAACACTCTCTAGCTTCAGAAAAAGATAACTTCTCTTCATATGGAAGAGCCAACTATTCCAACCTCAATTTTCTATATTTACCTTTGTCTTTCAGCATTTCAGTCACATCCTCCACGAGGGTCACCACCTCTTTGATGTTCTTCGGATGTTGTAATTTTACCCAAATCCTGACCTCTTCAGGGAGGATTTTGAGAAACTGTTCTAGCACCAATAACTCTAGGATCTGATTCTTTGTATGAATCTCTGGTCTCAGCCACTGACGGCAGAGCTCCCAGAGTTGGCTTAGGGATTCATAAGGCCCAGCCACTTCCAAATACTGGAACTGTCTGAACTTTTGACGAGAGGCCTCAGAGTTATATATCTCCATTTTGGGGATGGCTTTCTCCTGCCAAGACACATCTGCTTTCCGGACCTCACTTTGTTTATGCAAAGGCAGGTTTTGAGGCTTTGAGACGGGTATCAACTTTTTCAGAGGCTGCATCTTGCTAGATATAATTCCTACTGTAGTTCAAATGTTTTTCCAAAACATTCCAGCAATTCTGACTTGGTGTAAGTACCTGTGTACTATATACAATACACAGTGTGATTTGAGCCAAGTTATATCTCAGTAATCAGAGAAGTTCCAGAAGCTTCAGATACAAAGTCAATATTCAGGACTGGAGAGACTGTAAAAAAGACACAAAAATGATCTACAGATAAAGAACATATATTAGTGTGGGGCTGGGAGATAATAATAAAAATAACATTCTTAAATTACCTAAGAAATAAATCAATATTACAGACTCTCTTTCTAATCTTATTTTCCTTCTTTAGAACAGGAAAATATGCTCTTTCTCTCTAACTCCCACCAGAGAGAGATAGATACACAAACAGACATCTCCAAAAAAGTGATAAAAGAAATAGACTTTTGCTTTTTAAAAAGCCCCATAATTCAATTGCAATTAGATTTTTGTTTTTGGGGGGTAAAACCAAAAACCAATCTCACTGCCATTGAGTCGATTCCAATTCATAGCAACCCCCTTTGCGTTTCCAAGGCAGTTAATCTTTATGGAAGTAGATTGCCCAGTCTTCCTTCCACAGAGCGCCTGGTGGGTTTGAACCACCAACCTTCTGGTTAGCAGTTAAATGCCTTAGGCACTACGCCACCAGAGCAGGTAACAACTCCTGTTTGCTTTAAAACTAAGCAAAACAAATTATCAGGCAACATAGGTTATTAAGGCTTCAGGCTAGAGATACCTGAAAAACCCTTCCAAACTTCTTAAAATACCAATAGCTATATAAAATGAGTAAACTGGTAACAGCACTAAGAATTAAGGTAAAAATTTTATAATTATAAAACAAACAAACAAAATACTAGAATGAATTTCTGAGAGCTATTTCACTTTCAAGGATAAATTAAAAAGTGCATTCCCAATCTATAATTGTGTTGTTATTATTGTTATGTGCCGTCAAGTTGGACCCGACCCATAGCAACCCCTCCTTGGGTTTCCAAGGTGGTATCACTATGGAAGTAGATTGCCCAACCTTCCTTCCAAGGAGTAGCTGGTGGGGTTGAAACGCCAGCCTTCTGGTTAGCAGTCAAGTGTCTTAGGCACTACACTATCAGAGCTCCACTATAACGATTAAGTTTCTATTTGCTAAGAATAACTTCCTCCTTCCACGCCTCAAATTCTCCTTTCCGTAGCCCACGCTTCCCTCCCTCTCCAATGGCTTGCGTCCTCCTCCAGATTCTCAGACAAAAACTAGGAGGGAGGCGTCGGATTGTGGTTAAACTGAGAACAGGTGTAGCAAAAGCTGAGGAGAACTTCACCCCTGCTTAGTTCCCCGCAAGGCGGATTCTTAATTCCACGCACCCTATCTACATCGCCCACTGCCCCAGGTAATACCTGCCAGCTCAGCCTCCAGACAGGGCTCCGTTCAGTCAGTTTCCAGTTCCGAGAGAACTCGCAGAAGTTGCAGTCCTGGAAGGTGAAGGTAGCTGTCGTAAACGCGCTGGAATTAAAAACAAAACCTAAAGCTTAAAGGTGGCTGCCGGCTAGGAATTTTAGAAAAGCCGCTGTTCCAAGCCGCGCCCCGAACTCGCTCTTGCGCAGGCGCATCAGCTGTAGACACGTACCCAGAAACCCCCGGGGTCTGAAGGTTGTGAGAGGCTTTTCCTAGTCCTGACTGAAACCAATCCTGCCTCTTTCCACCTGCAGGGTCTACTCTTCAGAGAGGCTGCTAACACTGGAGTTGCGAATGGAACCTTGAGCTTCTGGTGGGTTACGAGAGGGACGAATCAAAGTTCAGTCGCTTATCGCATCCTATTAGGGAAAACTGGACAAAATCTTTTTTACCTTTCGCCAGGAACCAAAAACAGTAACCTAATTTCGACAAGATATCCAAAGACAGGGCAATCTACTTCTGTAGTGATACTGCCTTGGAAACCCAAGGAGGGGTCGCTATGAGTCGAGACCTACTCGATGGCAGTAAGTTATGATAGCTTCTTAGCCACAGCCAACTACCTTGAGGGATCAAGTTGTTGGGCCCATGGGCTTGGGGCTATGGTCACAGGAGACATCAAGTTCAATTGACATAACATACCCCACAAAAACATAGTTCTACACCTAGCGACGAGAACTAGATCTTTTAAAGTCATAATTATTTGCTAAAAACTTTATTCATTTATCATGAAATTCCTCTCACTTGTCAAATGCCTCTGGATTAGAACCTATAGTTGTTTAGAAAAATGTATTTTTGTATACCAAAACTTGACCTGAGTTAAGCCAAAAGTTTTTTCTAGACCATCTTTTAATTCATTCAGCAAATTGTTAATGAAAACCTAATACATGACAGATAACTAACTATACTAGACATTGGGAATATATTAGTAAACATAAACAGATGAGGATTTACCATTATAAAATTTGCAGAATGCATTAATACCCAACAGAAATATTCTCTATGTTAAACTATTATGCCTCTTTACCTCAACATTTTGTGTTCTACATATCCTCAGAATTTTTTGTTGTGTGTATTTTGAATTGTACTAAGTCAATTTGGAATTTAGTTAAGATATTTGTGAGGGGATTTGGTTTCATAAGTTTTATGTAATAAACATTTATCAATTTTGACTTCCAGTCACCTGAATCCCCATACTGTATATCTTATGTGAGTCTTGATTATAATTAGAATCTTTAACCCTCCACAAAAGTTTAAAACATCAGAAATTCACTTTGTCTTCTTGTAAAGATATACTCAATCTGCACTTTGAATCTGGAAAAGCAAGGATAGCGGATAGTTTCTTTTCTTTTTTTTTTTTTAAACAAACAAACAAAACAAAACAAACTCACTGCTGTGGAGTCAGATCCGATTCATAGTGACCCCTCCTTGGGTTTCCGAGGCAGTATCTTTAGGAGTTCTGGTAGCATAGTGCCTAAGGCACTTGATTGCTAACCAGAAGGCTGGTGGTTCAAACCCACCAGCCACTCCACGGAAGGAAGGTTGGGCAATCTACTTCTGTAGTGATACCACCTCAGAAACCCAAGGAGGGGTCGCTGTGAGTTGGGTCCGACTCAACGGCACATAACAACAACAACAACAAACAAGATCACTACGGAAGCAGATTGTCCAATTTCCTTCCGAGGAGTGGCTTTAAATAGACTTTATTATTTAACTAAAAGATGAATGACTTTTACACTGAAAACTATAAAAAATGGCTGAAATAAATGGAAGGAGACCTAGATAAATGTAAAGACATTTCTGTATTCATGGATTGGAAGACTTAAATGGTTAGGTTGTTAAGACTGAATCAATTAACAGATTCAGCACAGTATCTATAGAAATTCCAGTGCCCCCCCCCTCTTTTTTTTCCAGAAATGGCAAAGCTTCAAATTCATGTGGAATTGCAAAAACCCACTGCCATCAAGTTGATTCCGACTCATAGTGACCCTATAGGACAGAATAGAACTGCCCCATAGAATTTCCAAAACTGTAAATCTTTACAGAAGCAGACTGCTTCATCTTTCTCCTTCAGAGAGGCTTGTAGGTTTGAACCACCAACCTTTATGGTTGTTGTTGTTGTTGTGTGCCGTCGAGTCAGATCTGACTCATAGCGACCCCTCCTTGGGTTTCCGAAGCAGTATCACTACGGAAGTAGATTGCCCCATCTTCCTTCTGAGGAGTGGCTGGTGGGTTTGAACCACTAGCCTTCTGGTTAGCAGTCAAGTGCCTTAGCCACTATGCTATCCACCACCATGCCAAGGACCCCAAATAAGCAGAGCTATCTTGAAAAAGAAGGACAAAGTTGGAGGATTCACATTTTCCCATTTCAAAACTTAATGCAAAGCTATAGTAATCCAAACAGTGTGGTACTAGTGTAAGGGTAGACATATGGTCCAAAGAAGTAGAATTGAGAGTCTAGAGATAAAATCATACATCTGTGTCCAACTGATTTTTTACCAAGGTGCCAAAACTATTCAATGAGGAAAGAATAGTCTTTTCAACAAGTGGTGCTGGGACAACTGGATTATTACATGCAAAAGAATGCAATTAGACCCCTACCTCATACCATATACAAAAATTAACACAAAATGGATCAACAACAGAAATGTACAAGCTAAAATCATAAAATACTAAGAGGAAGACAAAAGAGCAAATCTTCATTACCTTGGATTTGGCAGTAGAGTTTTAGATTTGACACCAGAAGCATGATCAACCAGATTAATTGGACATTATCAAAATTAAAACCTTTCATGCATCTAAGGACATTATCAAGAAAATGAAAAGATAATCTACAGAATGTTAGAAAATATTTGGAAATCTAGTATCTAGAATCTATAAGGAGTTTTACAACTCAATAACAAAAATATAAACAACCCAATTAAAAAATGGACAGAGTACTTGAAAGAAGATATACAAGTGGTGAAAAGGGCACAATAAAAGAAGCCCAGCATAATTAGCCATTGCTGTTAGGTGCCGATGAATAAATTTGGACTCAAAGCAATCCCATGTGACAGGAGAGAACTGTTCCATATGGTTTTCTTGGCTGCAGTCTTAATGGAAGCAGATCACCAATCTTTCTCCCATGGAGCCTCTGGGTGGGTTTGAATTGGCAACCTTTCAGTTAGTAGCCAAGCATTTAACCACTTGCACTACCAGGCTCCTTCGTTAGAAGTTGTTGTTAGGTTGTTAGGTGCCATCGAGTCAATTCTGACTTATAACGACCCTAGTACAACACAACAAAACATCCCCTGTCCTGCGCCACCCTCACAATCCTTGCTATGCTTGAGCCCATTGTTGCAGCCACTGTCAGTCTATCTCGTTGAGGGTCTTCCCTTTTTTCTCTGACCCTGGCCTTTACGAAGCATGATATCCTTCTCCAGGGACTTGTCCCTTCTGACAAGAAGGTGAGATAAGGTCTGGCCATTCTTGCTTCCAAGGAGTATTCTTGCTTCCAAGGAGTATTCTTCCAGGACAGATTTGCTCATTCTTCTGGCTGTT